GCGTTAAAAGTCCAGCTCTTGCCTCTGCCCATTGCTGCTCCACCAAGACAGAGGGAAGAGAGCAAAGGCCTTTCTTTGCGAATTTGTCCTTGATATTCATATAACCAGACTTCACTCGCATACACACACAGAGCATGGGAGTTCCTGTGTGCTTCTCCTCGCCCTCCTGCCCACTAACGTTTCAGAACCAGAAGCCCTGATTCCATAGGAACACGGTTTGGAGCTGGTGTTTCAGCACCATGGACAAGAGCAAAGCCTGACTCCTTTGAGAAGGCAGGGAGAGAAAAACAAGGCTGGAGGGCAGATGGAGTCCTGCGTCTGAGAGGGAAGTGGGGGAACTTGACTTTTGTGCTAACGTTCTAGGGCTGACACATCTTGGCTTTGTCTCTTCCACCCCCTTTCCATCTGCGAAGGTTGCCTGGGAATCTGGTTCCCTTCCTGCTTCCTTTTGACTCTTCATCTCCCTATACACAACCCATTACTGGCTGCCTCACGAACTCAGCTGGGCGCTCATGCAGTTCAGGAAATGTCGGGGTGAATTCCTGGCTTTCAAAGCCCAGGTGTGCTCCCTGGAAGTAGACACACACTTTGCATAGTTCAGTGAAGTGTGCACACCCCTTGCACATTGATATTTACTTACCTTGTGAATATAGGTGGGTCTCACTTTGTGTAAATCTTATGTATGAAAATCCACACAGTTTACAACACATAGTTTAGAGGAGGACCTCGGGGCTCATGGGTGGACTTCAAGATGGTCTCAGAACCCTTTGGAAGTGTGGGAATGTTTTTTGTGAGTGTGTGGGTAAAAATTGATAAGCTTTTCATTTTTCGGGGAGCAGTATAGATTTCATTAGATTCTCAATGGGCTCATGAGGTTGAACAATTATGGGAACTTCACGGCTAAAGGATCATCTCCAGTTCAGGGACTACGAGGTGCCAGTTTGCAAAGTCAAATTCTAACCTCCTCATGCCCATGTTCCCTTCTCAAAAGCAATTGTGGGGCGGCCCCCCACCTCCTGCTCCTGAAGTCTATGTTTGGGAGCGGAGATGTCACCAGTCCACACACAATTTGAGTTGTAAAGTGCCGTGGTCACTGGCATCCTTAGATATGTACAATAGAGATTGTGCTCGTCTTCAAAACAGCACTTGATTCTGGGGAGCATGCGGGTAATCGTGCCAGCGAAACCATTACTCCAAACTGCGAAGAGAACCCGTCCAGAGAGGTTGCCAAGCCCTGGACAGCAACAGGGCCTCGTTCAACTGTAACTACTTCTTGTAGCACCCAAGGCTTAGGAGGTGCTGGGGCTCACGTCCTGCATGTTGGCCCGCGTGGAGTTGTCCTTTGCATGGAGGGTGGGTCTTTTGACCTGAGACAGTTGCTCTGTCTCACTGCATTGCCTAGATGATGTGCCAGGTCAAGATAGGGCTCAGTCTGGGGTTAAAGTGCGCTCAGTCTGGTCCAGGGTCGAGGCTCAGGTTGAGACCTTGGTTATGTAGGGCTCAGTCTATGGTAGGCTTCAGTCTGGGACCATGATCAGGGCTTGGTTTATTACTGATGTCGGGGCTTGGTCTGAAGTCAGGGTCAGGCCTCAGTTTAGAACTACATTTGGGGCTCAGTCAAGGACCAGAATTCAGTTTATTGCTGGTATGAGGGTTTAGTCGAGATTTAAGATTGAGGCTCAGTCTGTGGATGGGATCAGGGTCCGACAGGGGCTCTTTCCCAGCTGACTCGATGGCTTTCCTTTCCGCAGGTGCCCAGGACCCCGCGCCCAGGGGTGGAGTCAGCCGACAGCAGGCGTCTGACCACCAAGCACAGCAGGAAGGCCTTGAAGGCCAGCCTGACCCTAGGCATCCTGCTGGGCATGTTCTTTGTGACCTGGCTGCCCTTCTTTGTGGCCAACATAGCCCAGGTAATGCCACTGCAGGAGCAGATGAGTGGAGGCCTTGCTGGGGAGGACCCCCCCCCGGACCTGCACCCCAGCCCAGGCTTGGGGAGGGAGGAGGGCGGGCTGCCTCTCACGGTATGTTTGTGCATGTCTGCCCGGCCATGCTGGGTGGGGTGGTCTCTGTTCCTGCCCTGGGACCAGGTGTGATGCACCCCTTCCCTCCAGGCCGTGTGCGACTGCGTCTCCCCAGGCCTCTTCGATGTCCTCACATGGCTGGGTTACTGTAACAGCACCATGAACCCCATCATCTACCCACTCTTCATGCGGGACTTCAAGCGGGCCCTGGGCAGGCTGCTGCCATGTCCCCTCTGCCCCCAGGAGCACCGGGCCAGCGTGGCCTCACCCTCCATGCGCACCTCCCACAGCGGCCCCCGGCCGGGCCTGAGCCTGCAGCATGTGCTGCCCCTGCCCCTGCCCCCGGACTCTGACTCGGACCCTGACTCACGCTCGGGAGGCTCCTCAGGCCTGCAGCTCACGGCCCAGCTGCTGCTGCCAGGAGAGGCCACCCAGGACCCTCTGCCGCCTGCCAGGACTTCTGCCACGGTCAACTTCTTCAGCATTGACGCAGCGGAGCCCAGGCTGCAGCCACATCCGCTTGGTGCCCCCACGAGCTGATCCAGGCTGGTTGTCAGGGAGCATGACTGGATGAAACCCAGTCCGCGAGGCCTTGGGCCACCTCTTGGCTGAGGCCAGGAGGCTGCAGGTCTCTTGGGAGCCCTCTGAGCTCCATGGGCTGCACTGAATCAGTCCCCAAGGCCCACTCCGGGTCCTCCACCAGAGGGACAATACCCGGCTTCCGTGCAGGTTCCTCCAGGATGCTGCATCGCTAAGTGTGACCTGTGCTGTGTGTGAAGGATGGTTGGAGGGCTCGGGGGGGGGGGGGGAGGAGGAGAACCTCTCAGTTCAGATTAAGATGAAAACAGTCTCTTTTGCACATTCTATCAGATCACATGTCTGCAGAGATGGATCAGTGCAGGGCTGAGTCCCTTGCTCCTCTAAGTGTAGTTCACAGGCTGTCAGAGCAGCTGACCTCCTGGGAGTTCATTAAAAATGAACACCTCTGCCCCCACCTGGGACCTGCTGAGTCAGACCCTGCGGATGAGCAAGGTCCCCGGGACTCGTGTGCGCATGGTTGGAGGTGTGCTGGCTTAGCTGATCTTTCATCCTGAGGATGGTTTCTGGACAGTGTCTGGACCAGCCAGCCCCTCAGATTTGTGTGGCCACACAGAAGACTCCTGAGCCGGGGCGTCAGGCAGGCCTACATTTGAATCTCTGCTCCACTGCTTACTAGCTCTGGCACAGCTTACTTAACCTCTCTGAGCCTGTTACTCCATGTGAAAATGGGGTAACGCTGCCTGCCTTGTAGGTGCCATGAGAATTAAGACAGTGTGCATGGGACGCCAACACCGGCAGGTGGTCAGGAGGTGGTACCTGCTGCTGTTATAACTCCTGGTTATTCAGCCTCTTGGCCTCTGGCTCTGGGTCAGGAAGGGCCATTTGTTCCCACTGTTTGATTATTTCTATCTTCCTCCTCTTGTTCAGACCCATCCCAGCTCCCAGGCTACTGCACTGTCTCTCCTGGGGCAAGAGGGTGGCTGATGGCTTCTTGTTCAACATCTGGGATGGGTGTTCCTCTGTCCTTGGCTTCCTTGGACCTAGAAGGGAACCAGCTGATGGGCCAGAACCATCCCCTTGCCCTACCTCCTTCTCGCCTTCCCTGGGCTGGTGAAGGAGACTGGAGTGGTGGCCACTCAGGTCAGCAGGGTTGCAGAGGAGCAGTCCTGGTGAGGGTTGGCGCCTCAGGCAGGTGAACCCTGGTACAGGGGCCTTTTCTTTTTTTTTGAGGGAGGACTTCGTTCCTACACTTTACCTGCTGTAGTTTCCTTTTCAGTCTGAGGTTTTTCTTAACTCCCCACCTGCACCAAGTCCATCAACCCAGCTCCCAGGGGGTGCTCTCTTGGTGGCCTGATGCTCTCCTTGGTGCTGATTAGATTTAACTCTGGGCCCGGCTGGCTGCTGGCCATAGAGGGACCATGGTGCTTGTTGGGGCTTTCTCTCCACCTGCCCCACCCCCGGGCCTGCTCCAGTGGACTCTCAATAAACACTAGCTGATGACGGTGACTGCAGTGTGGACTGGATTCACTTTGCGGGAGGGGGAGGGCACTCCGGTAGCTGATGAAGTGGAAGAGGCCCTGGGCACAGGTGTCCTGGGTTCTGATCTGTTCTCTGCCCCTAATTTGCTTTGGGACCTCATGGGTGACATGAGCTGTTTGGATTAATAGCAGCCAGAGTTCTGTAAATATTTGTTAAATGAACGAACAGATACACACACCGCTGAGGGCCAGCTCAGCTCCAACACGGTAATTCCTCCCATCTCTTCCCCGCTGCCTGCCTCTGAGCTAGTCAGTCCTGTCTCTGCCTGGTTCCTGACTTCTGCATCTGCACAGTGGGTGGGGGAATTCTCTCTGGCCCTGTCGTTTAGGGACAGTGGGAGGAACAAAGAGGGAGGTTCTCAGAGGTGCAGGTACAGTGGCTAAGAGCGAGGCCCTGGAGGCTGACTGATGAGTTGGAAATTGACCAGCTTTGTGACCTTGAGCAGGTTACCAGGCCTCTCTGGGCACCAAATATCTGCAGGTGTAAAGTGAATATAATAATAGTAGCTACCGCCCTGGCCGGTTTGGCTCAGCGGTTAGAGCATCGGCCTGCAGTCCGGAGAGACCCGGGTTCGGTTCCCGCTAAGGGCACGTACTTCGGTTGCAGTTTGTCCCCGGCCCTGGTTGGTCGTGTGGGTGGCAGCCACTCGATGTGTCCCTTTCACATCGATGTTTCTCTCTCTCTGTCTCTTCCTCTCCCTCCCTCCCACTCTATCTACAAAAAATGGAAAAATGTCCTCTGGTGAGGATAAAAAAAAAAAAAAAAAAAAAAAAAAAAAATAATAGTAGCTACCTTATCAGGTTGTTGTGGGGTCAACTGAGACAATCCACGTAAGCCCCGTGGACATGGGAAATACTCAGCCAGTAGTAAGCATTCCTCTTTATTTTTACAATGATCATCACCTCGTCCCTGCTACAAGACATCCTTCCCCCGTATAACCCATTCTTGCTACCAGGCGCAGTTCCCACCCATACCACAGGCGGGTTTAGCACTCACTCACTGTGCTGTCACAATCACATCCAGGGCCACCATGCAGCACAACCTGGGGGGTGCCCTTCACAGCAGGCCTGTGTGATGGACGCCCCTGTCATCGTGCAGTGCGCGGCCCGCATGGCTGTCCACGGCAGGTCTGATGGGATCTCCCAAGGGCAGAGCGAGCTCCCTGCCCGCTCCCTGCTGGCACCCGCTCTGAAAGTGCGTCGGAGGTGCCCGCGGGCTGGTGGGCAGCCTTCGAGTGGATGGAAGAGCAGGCAGATGCTTGGCTTGATTAAGGCAGGGGGAGAATGGTGGGTGGGAACCCAGAGAGCCCCCGGACCTCCTGAGAGCAGACCCCACGGCTGTGACCTAACAGAGTACAGGAGGCCCATGGCTGGGGGTCGTGGGCTCTCACTGTGCTTGGTTGACTCTGCAGGACTCCGGCCTTGCTTCCCTAGAGAGGGACCATGGTCTCCCTACAATTCCCCCTCCTTTCAATCCCGAAGCCGTCAATATAGGAAAGGCACTGGTGGAATCCGCACGAGCTCCCGCAGGGGCCCGGTGGAGGGGTAAGAGAGCACCGCCTAGGGACATCTGGGAAGACGGCTCGTCCCCTTGTGGGTTCAATCCAGCCCTGGGCAGGGCCCCTGGGTCTTGCTGGGGCAGTCCAGGGGGTTGGGGTCCACACCATGGCTGCAGATCGGGGGGCTCTCAGCAGGGCAGGCAGCAGGAGAAGGGGAGGTCCCTTTGGACTGGTCCAGCCCTGTTGGCACCTGGGCTTGGCTGAGGTCAGCGGATGTGGACACGTTGCAGGTGTCTCTGGGTGCAGGACCCTGGGTTTGCCCATCCTGGTCGGCGGTCTGGTCTGATGAGGAAGTGGCGGCTGCCTGGCGAGGCTCCTCTTGGGGCAGGCTGCCTGGGGCCATCAAAAGCCCCTTTTTATCCCAGCTTGGCTTGGTGCGGATGCCCACGGCCTTCAGGATGACGTCCATCTGCTTGGCATAGTCCAAGTGGCCACTGACCTGCAGGAGGACAGTGCGTGAGGGCCCTGGTGGGTGGGCAGAGCCCGGCCCTCCTCCGGGTCCCAAACTAAGCACCTGGGCCTCACCCTCTCCCTCAGTCACCAATGCCCTGTCTCCAAGTCTCCATGACTCCGAGCGGGGTGGGAGGCCGCTAGGTTCAAGGCTGCTCTGGGACTCACTAAGTAAAGATGAAGGACGTTTCTCTCTAACACCTGGGTCCTCTGGGGGCAGGAAGGAATCTCCTGATAGCTGGAGCGGAGGTTCTCATTCCCTCTGCAGCTTTCGGTGAGAGCAGAAGAGGTCTCTTCACCGGCTCTGGGGCTGCGGACACGCCCCTTTATCCTCTGACCTCCACTTGCCTCAGCTGTAAAATGGGGACAACAGGCATAGCTGCAGCAGAGGGTTGCTACGAGGTTGCTGTAAAATCCTCACCCTGAAAACAGAGCTATGGCACAGACGGCAAGGTGCCATCTGCAAGTCAGTCACAGGAACTTCAGCCCAGAGCTGGGTACCTTCCTCTCTTACACCTGAGTGGCGCACTGCGACACGTTCTGGTCAATGAGATAAAACGCTAGTGTTATGTGGTGCTCCCTGGGGGTCTCTTTAAAAAGGGGAGTGCTCTTTTCCCCTTTTCCCTCTTTCCTGCTGGCTGGAATGCAGACATGATGGCCAGAGTTGGAGCAGCCATCTTGGGCCATGAGTTGCCCGCTGAGGTCTACTTGCAAAGCAGCAAAACGTGAAATTTTGGCCCCTGAAGACTCTGGAGTCACCACACCAGCCCTGAACGGCCTATTCTGGGCTTTTCTTACATGACAGCATCAACTCTTGTATGTTTAAGCCACTTTAGCTGGGCCTTTGTTATAGGGACCCAAATCGTCACTAAGACAAGGGCCAGGAACTCAGAAGTGCCCACCCTCTTCCTCGGAGAATGGAGACACCCCCATTTTTGTGTCAGGATGTGTCAGTAGGAGTGTGGTTGGAATGCTGGATGCCTAACTGGGATACTGAACTACGCTCAGTCACAGGGGGTCCTTCATACATTGCAGAACATGAACTTACTGGGTCTACTCCCTGACAGGTGCTGGCTGTTCATTAGAGATGAAGAAATTGAGCCATAGAGTAGTAGTGACTTGCCCAAGGTCATACAGCCAGAAAGTGTCAGAGTTGAGATTTGAATCAGGTCTGTTCTTTTCACAGAACACCAGTGAGTGAGAGGGAATTTGAAAAATCATTTGCATTTTCCGGATGAGGCCAGGGGCGCCCAGGGAGGGGCGGTGGTTTGTTTAATGACACACAGCACGTGAAGAGCCGAGCGTGTGCCGCGCTCGAGATGCTGTGTGCAGAGGCGCCTAGCTCAGACCTGTCCCCTCTGCCAGCCAGGCTAGGGGTCTGTGGCAGTGCCAAAGGTAAGAGAAGAAGACTCCTTCCAGGCTGAAGCAGGAGGTTTTGCTTACGAAGAAGACAGGGAGACACTGCGGAGGCAAGTGTGGGGACTCTTAGGAGGCAACACAAAGGCTTGGCTGGTGACATCTGCATTGCCATGTACATCACGGATCACGCTGGGTTATGCAAAGGATTGTCCCAAAACACAAAAAGATAGTTCCCTGTACCGTTTTGTTATTGTCTCATAACCAGAACCTGCCTGCTTCTTGTTCTTTTCTTTACCAATGCTTAAAAAAATTTTTTTTTAAATCCTCATCAGAGGATATTTTTTCCCATTGATTTTTGAGAGAGTGGAAGGGAGGGAGGGAGGGGGAAGGAAGGAGAGAGAGAGAGAGAAGAATATATGTGAGAGAGACACATCGATTGGTCGCCTCCTGCATGCACCCCGGCCAAGATGGGGTTGAACCTGCAACCCAGTTACATACCCTTGACCAGGAATTGAACCTGGGACCCTTCGGTGCATGGACCGATGCTCCAACACTGAGCCACACCAGCCAGGGCTTTACCAATGCTTTTAAATTGTGTTCAGCAACAATACACACATGTACACACATATAAGGGGCTTTTCAGATCCCCGGGTTCAGGGTGGAGGTCAAGGGGGACAGCTGCCTTCCACAGATGGTAGGCATTAGTGGCCACATGGCACTAGAAAGAACCTAAGTTTGGGATCCGAGAAAAGGGGTTCCAGCCTTGGTTCTGTCACTTACTAGTAACTGGGTGAGTCCTTGTAATGTCCTGAACCCCAGCTTCCCCATCTGTAAAATGAGGATCATAACTCCTACCTTGAACGTCTGCTACAAGAGTTCAAGGGCCTGGCACTTCGCGGACTCAGTATATGCTACCTCTTACCATTATGTTCCATATACAACCCCAAAGAGTTCTGCGGGGACATTACCCAGTTAGTGACGCCCACCTCACAGTGTTGGGAAGAAACAATGCAAACCACAGTGCCTCCGAGCTTCCTGATTCCTGCCTGACACCTGACACCCAAACAGGCTGCAGCCAACTGCCTCCCTGCAAGCCTATAGGGCACCTTCAAGTTCCTTTACCTCTTGGGCCTCAGTTTCCGTATCTGCAAAATGGGGCTAATAGAGGCACCTAGAGCACGTGACCTTGTGTGAGGCTTCAGTGAGACAGTACATGTAACAGGCCTACTGGCCTCGAGTGAGGTCACTGGCCGAAGGCACAGATGTGCTCATGTCTGCAGCAGAGATGCGGTCGTCCTGAGCCCCGCCTCTCACACGGAGTGTCCCCTCCTGCAGCCTCAGCTCCCACATCTCCACGGTGGGGTTATTATCCCTACTTCCTGGGACGGCCACGAGCATCAAATGACACAGTCTGCCAAGAGCAGAGCCTCGCACGTGTGGGCTGTCATTATCGTTAAGTGTCTATTTTATGCCATGCCTGTACTAAGTTCTAGAAGCCAGCTGGCATTTCCTGGGGGACATGACGAGTTCAGAGACCCTGGGCTGGGTCTCTGCCTCCAGAAGCCTCATGAGTTGGCCCCTGGGGTGGCAGAGTCCCCTGCTCACGGCAATGCAGTCCCCACACGGGGAGGCAGCCTGGCCTTTGTCTGCTTCTCTCCCCCCACGATGCTCCTGCCTGTGACAGGGCCAGTCCCACACTGACTCCCGGCGCAGGCCTGTCCTTAGGTCAGGAACCACCGCAGACCATGTTTGGGGCGGGTGGCTGATATCTGAGAGAATTCACGAAAGGCCCGGCCATGTCCTGGGGGGAGAAGGCAGGTCTCTGCCCGGAGCACGGGGCACGGGGCAGCCGGGCTTCCCCCGATGGCAGGAATGAAATTCTTCCGCCAGCAGCCTCTCCTCCAGCAGGAATTTTCAAGGAAAACAGGAGGGCGGCAGAGGCAATGCTAATTACTCTAATTACCCCAGAGAGGAAAGCACTGCTTTTGGTGATGTTCTCCTAATGTGATAAAGAGCTATTATTAGGCAAGAGCTGGGAAGCTGCCACGCAGGCAGGCAGAGGAGGGAGGTGTCTCCGAAGGGCAGAACCGAAGGTGGGGGCGGAGGCAGGAGAGGAGGAAGCCTACCATGCACCGCGCATCTCACGTGCGCTGCCCCGGGGTGTAGGTGATTGCCCCCATTCCACAGACGAGAAAACAGGCACAGAGAGGTTAAGAAACTGGCCCAGGGTCACACAGCCAGTGCACCAGTGTACCAGTGGCCAAGCCAGGATCCTAGGCCAGGTCTCCCCGGTACCAAAGGCCGAGCTTCTCCCGATAAAGCCCGTTCAGGGGCTTCCTGGGGCAGAAACTGGATCTTGCAGGGCTTGTGGCATCTGAGGGAATTTTCATTTACAAGGAACTTTCAGCTGTTCCTCTTGGTAGAGGGAGACTCTTGGGTGGTGAGGCGCAAAGTCCCTTCTCCTCCTCCCCCCTTCAGGGTACAGGGACCCTTAAATAGGACAGAGACCCCTGGACACAAGTCAGGAGGCATCGCTCTGAGTCCCGTGGCTCCCTGGTCTTGTCACCCAGCCCACTCGCTCCCACAGGGAGTGGACAGCCAGGCTCTGGTCTGAGGGCCCAGATCTCTGACTCTGGCTCCGCGACTTCATTCTCTCGGCCTCGGCTCCCAGGCTGTGACGGGGGAGCCGAATCCCCATCAGGGCTGCCGGAGGTTACATTATAGGAAGCGAGTCTATCAGGGATACGGATGGTCCAGAAGGCTTCCCCTGGCTCTGGGGTGGGACACTCCGTCCGCCCCGGACAACTGTCTCTAACCAGGACTGAGTTTCACCTGGGAGTCTAGAGCAGCGGTTCTCAACCTCCCTAATGCCGCGACCCTTTAATACAGTTCCTCACGTTGTGCTGACCCCCAACCACAAAATGATTTCTGTTGTTACTTCATAACTGTAATTTTGCTACTGTTATGTTTTGGGAGACCCCTGTGAAAAGGGTCATTCGACCCCCGGGTTGAGAACCGCTGGTCTAGACGCCCCTCTTATTCTCGGGCGGCACCAGGCCCCCAGCTCCCGGTCGGGAGGGCATGGCGGCCCCACTTGAGTTCTCGGGCGGGTTACAACTTGTCTGCTGGGATCCTGGGAGTTTGTGGGAGCAAAGACGTACGTGAGGGCGAGGCGGCCCAGCAACGCGGTAGCAGGCGAGTGAGGTGACCGCGGGCAGGGACACGGCCCGAGAGCTTCGGGGGCGACAGGGACTGGTAAAGTTTTGGTTTCTGGTGTTTCTGTGCTAGACTTCCTAGTCAAGTTTCAATAAACGTCACGTCAGTGTCAGCGCTGCTGGTGGGGGAGGGCGGAGGTGGGGCAGGCTGCAGAGTCCTCGGGAGTGCCCCCCAGGGGTTCCAGGTGCCCCAGAGGAGCCTGGCCCGCCTGCTCTCAGGCAGGATGGCACACTGCACTGTGCGCCCCGGCCCAGGAACCTGGGTCACCCTTGGGAAGCGCTCGGCACCCGATGAACGGCTGCCGACAGCGTAATCACTGGAAACCAAAGCTCTTTGCGACACAGGGTTTTCACTGGCCGGAGACGTAACTGCAGTTCATTACCCTCCCCCCAGAGCGGGCGCCTCTCCCGCCATTTCCTACGTCTACCCGAGCACGGGCGAAGCCCATGGGCTTCAGACCTGGGTTTGAGCCCTGCCGTGACCCCGGGCAAGTCCCTTGGCCTCTCAAAGCCTCAGTGTCCTCATCTGTACAATGGGGATACTGATGCTGCCGGCAACAGGCTGAGGGCAGAGCTGGGCTGAGTGTCCACGCATGAAGCTACTGACTCCCTGCGACAGGCATGTGCAGGTGGACGAGGGTCCTTCAAGCCTGAAAGGTGGATCTAGAAACTCAATGAGGTTTGTGTGGCTGCCCAGGCAGCCGGCCCCCTTCCACCCCATTCCCCGCGGGAATCCTTTTTAACTCTGTGACTGCAGTCCAGCCGGGTGCTAGGGGTGTAAGAACCCCTGGGGAGTATGTTCAGTTGCAGACTTGAAGTATCTAAAAGGTCTGAGCTGTGGGCCCCTGGCATCTGCATTTTAAATAAACCCCGCAGGTGCTTCCACGGTGGGGACCTTGGCACACGGTCCCTGTTCTGCATCCCAGTTTCACAGCCAGGCAGTGGGGGGCTCCCACTGTGGCCTCGCTTGAACTCCTCCACCTGCACCTCTGGTTACTTCTGGGGAAACAGACTGTCCTGACTAGTCATGGGGGTGGGGGAGCCGGGAGTGGGGACATTGGGAGGAGGGGGAGCTGAGGGGGAGGACTGGGCAGTAGCGTAGGGGCCAGGGCATGGGCTCTGGGGATTCAGGTGCAGGCTATTCATTGCTAGTTGTGTGTCAGAAACTTTTCTAAGCTTTAGTTTCCTGATCTGCGATACGGGGGTAGTAACACCTGCCCCAGAGGCTGCGTAAGGATCTGACGTAAAGTGTGTAAAGGGCCTGGTGACAAAGCCGTGCATAGGGGTCACCTTTTCCCAGGCCAATGCTATGCGCACCCTCCTCCGGGGTGGGATGGGCCGGGCAGTGTCCCGTGAAGGAAGTGCCCCAGGAGGGCCAGGCTATGTACTCACGATGGAAGACAGGTCCACGTTCTCCACCCTCCTGTCCTGCAGCAGCACGGGCTGCAGGCCGGCGACGTGCACCTGCACCGAGGACGTGCGGTACACGAAGCTCAGCAGCCAGTCCCCCCTGCGGGCACAGAAGGGCGGACGTCAGCCTCGGGGAAGCCCCAGGACAGGGATGGGCCCCGCCTGGCCCGGGGAAGTCTGGTGGGACCGGTGCTTCTGTGGGAAACCAGGGCCCTGGCTGCACCCGTGGGGTGTGACAGTGGGAACAGCAGGGGACCCACGGGAGTGCTGCCCGCCTGGAGCGCCCAAAGGTGTCTTTGTCGTTCCCTGCTGGGTCCCCCGAGCTGGAACAGTATGCATGGAACCTGGCACGCAGTGGATGGCAACCCCCTGAATGAATGGATGAGGAAACCGGGTGAGTTCCCAACAGGTCAGCGTATGGCGCAGGAAAGGGGCTCTCAGCTCGGGGTCCCCAGTGCCCAGCAGTGGCTGGTACAGGGTCCTCCTGGGGCAGAGCACCATTCGGAACTGGGGGCCACCATGCTCTGTGGGGAATGGGGGCTCTGGGTCTAGCCCCCATTTGTCTGGGAGCTGCCCCCGTTTGTCTGGGAGCTGCCCCAGCCACCTCAGAGGAGCAGCGATGGCCACTCAGGCAGGTCACAGCCCTGGGAACACTCGTCCACTCTGGTGGGTGCTATGATCCCTACTCCCTCCACCCCACACCCCAGTCAAACACGCCCCCTACTCCACCGAGAGAAAATAAACCCTGGACCCCTGCTGCCTGTCTCTTCGGGCACAGTGAGGACGGTCTGTGGAGGACACGGTCTGGGGTCCGAGGCAGTCCTCGGGCCCTTGCACTCTGGCCTGGGGCTAAGCTGGGCTGGCCGGGCCATGCACTCGGACCTCACACTCAGCAAGCCCGTCACGCGAACGTTTCTGTCCTCCCCTCTGCATCCAGGACTGACGTCCAACCGAGCACATCTGGTTGCCTTTTATTTAGACCAACGCCAACCCCGGTTTGGTTTGCGAGGCAACTTGAGTCCATTATTTTTGTTTGAAAGAAGGGCCGCCCCTCCCCGCAGGGTGGGGGTGATGGCTGAGAGTCAGGAGGCCCCGCCCCGCCTATGAGACAAGCTGTGTACCCCAGCTGTCCGGGGCCCAGGATGTGGTGGGGCTCCAGGCTCCCTCTGTGGTCTCTGACCTAGGGAGCCCCTAGAAGGACTGGCCCAGAGTCGAGGGTCCCTCTACAGGCCCTGCTGTGTTCCCAGGGAGGTCATCGGCCCCTGACTCTCTCTACCACAGTCCCGCAGGGAAAAACCAGCGCAGTGTCTTAGGTACCCCTTCTCCCTGTGGCCAACTTACCAGAGTCTTGCTGATTCTTCCTCCCCCTCCCACTCCATGCCCAGCCCTCTCTCCAGCCCAGAGATCAGGCACCCCAACACTCCATGGACGGATATGACACCTCCTCCCTGCTCGCCCTGCTCTGGCCTCACCTCTCTGGGCCACCACGGCCTTTCCTAAACACGCAGCTGACCATGGCCCTCCCCTCGTAGAAGCTGGCCGTGACCCCACACTGCCCACATGCTTTATCTTCTAGAAAATTCCCAACTCTCCCCAGAGATCAATGCTTGTAAGTCCCAAAGACAGTCTGAACACTGGGGCCCCAAGAAGCACTTCCTCAAAGGGCGGACAGCTAAGGGGAGGAGGGAGACAAACGCAGTTGTTCTGTTGAACTAATCATCAGGCTCATGCATCGAACACTGCGTAGGAGAGGTCTGTGTTTCTTTCTAATTCCTCACCTGAGGATATTTTTCTACTTATTATCAGATAGAGTGAGAAGGAGGGGGAGAGAGAGAGAGAGACAGAGAGATAGAGCCACATCGACTGGTTGACTCCTGCATGACCCGACCAGGGCCGGGACAAACCGCAACCGAGGTACGCGCCCTTGACCAGAATTGAACCCGTGACTCATTGGTCCGCGGGCCAGTGCTTTAACCACTGACTCAAACCGGCCAGGGCTCTTATTTAATCCTCATCCAAAGATATGCTTTTATTGATTTTAGAGAGAACACAAGGGGGAGAGAGAGAGAGAGAGAGAGAGAGAGAGAGACATTGACTGGCTGCCTCCTGTATGTGCCATGACTGGGGATTGAACCTGCAACCTGGGCATGTGCCCTGACTGTGAATTGAACCCTTGACCCTTCGGTGCCTGGGACAACGCCCAACCAACTGAGGCACACGGGCCAGGGCCTGCAAATGTTCCCGATACAGATAGTTACAAATGAGCAAAGTCAGAAACATTCCTTCCAAAATATCTGTCTTACTTATGACAACATTCTACTCAAAATGTAAGCTGCCTGCACTTAGGGGCAGAACAGGAATGCACGTGAGAAGGTTCCGTACCCTCCACACTGTGCGGAGCAAACGGGCCTTTCCTGGCACTCAAGACCCTTCCTCTGCCTCTCTTGCTGGAGTGGGCCACAGGGAGCCAGGTTCAAGTCCCGCCTTGTTAACTACTATCTGCGTGACCTTGAGCAGGTGGCTTGGCCCTCGGAGCCTCAGTCTCCTCTCGGGTGGGGGAGGGTGCACTGAGATGGGGCGCACGTACACAGTGCCCACGTGCGCGCCTCGGGTACCATCTGTCTCCCGCGTGGGCCTTCTCGGGCAGTGTGGCCTCCCCGCTTGCCTACTCCTCTAGTCTCCGATGGGCTCCTGTCCATCCTCTCAAACCTCAGCTCGGATGTCACCTTCCCCGGGGACAGCCCCTGAGCCCTTCCAGCTGGTGTCCCACCTTTGCCCCTTCTGTGCCTGGTACCTGCTCCTTCTGTGATGTTTGTCACAAGTCCTGTGTGTCCGTACCTGGCTCTTTCCCAGGACTGTGCCTGAGTCCCAGATCCTGTATCCTGAGCTGAACCAGGAACTCCCTGGGGCGGGGCCCAGAGGGCCAGGGAGTGGTCCTCCAGGCGATGTTCCTGCGCGAATCACACAGCCGGACCCTGTCACGTGGCCTGTCGGAGGGCGCTCCTTGGCTGCGCGCAGGCCTGGAGCCGCTGTGGGCGGGGCCTCACCTCCCACCCGCTGGTACCAGGAACAGAGACCACAGGGAGTCCCCTGGGAGGCTGAGGATGAAACCCTCTCGGCGGAGGGAGACACGTCCTGAGTTCACGTCCTAGCTCTGCTGTGTGATCTTGGTGAGGTTCTCGACCCTCTCTGAACCGGTTTCCTCACGGTACAGCAGGGAGCTGTGCCACTGGCCCGGCTAGGTCCCAGGGGCTCCGTGGAAGCTGGGGTAAGCGACGGGGTCTGTCTGGAGCCTTATTAAGGCACATTATACATGTATAAGTGTGTATGGTCCGGTAGCGCTGGCCTGAGCTCCCCACCCCTCACTCCACGTTTAAGGGGGTTCACCGCCACTAAAATGCCCTCGGGAGCCAACAATACACATTTCTGATTTGATGTTTAATTTACCAAGAGCTACAGTTATTGTTTTGGTTGTCACGTGCCTTTCCTCTCCTCTCCTTCCGCCTGCTCCTCCTCCTTTCTCTCTCTGGAGAGATGGCCCAGGATTTCACAAAATAATTGAAAAGCAAGCTTATTAGCCTCAGGTTCTCAATAGGACAGATGGGTTTAATAAGGTTTTGTTGCTCTCAGATTGCACACACGCAATTTTAATTCTTTCCCTTGCTGTTTATGAAAAGCACCAGAAAGTCACGCGCTGTGCGAATATGCCCGTGGTAGTCATTCTAATTGATCTCTTTACTGGGCACCTACCAGGTGCCAGCCATTCTAGTTTTCCTAGAACCTCATTTAATTTTCCAAGAACCCCTGTGCAGAAGGGACTGCTATTCCCATTTAATAGGTGGGAATACTGGGATTCAGAGTTGTTTTTCCAAAGCTACTCAACAGGTAAATGGTGGAGCCGACATTTTAACAGAAGACGGTCTGGGTTGGTCCATTCTCTCTTTATTTTTTATTGTGTTTTAAACTACCCTTACTTAAAACATCAAATTAAAATCACTTTCAGGCCCTACTTCCAGTGCCTGTCCATTCCTTAGAGGGAGCACTGTTCTGTTTCCTGTGTCCCTTCTGGACTGTCCTGTGCAGACAGGCACAGGGACATATAGGCTCATGCGGACAGTTTTCCCTCGCAAATGAGTTCACAGTACATACTGTAGAACTCACTTTCTCTCCCGTTACCTAGTCCCCTACCTATGATCATTCAGGTTATTTTCAAAACATTTTTTTCTTTATTGATTTTAGAGAGAGAGAGAGAAGCATCGATGAGAGAGAACATCGACTGGCCGCTTCCTGCACGCCCCCCACTGGGGATCGGGCCCACAACCTGGGCATGTATCCTGACCAGGAATCGAACCAATGACCTCTTGGTGCATGGGTCGATGCTCAACCACTGAGCCACACTGGCTGGGCAGTTGTTTTCATGTTTAAATGATAAATGAAGCTGCAACTATCCACCTTTTACAGCCCTCTCTGTGCATGTGTGTATCTAGTATATCAGGGTCTCAAAGTCAAAATTGCTGGAGGAGGTGTCAGAAAATTGGCACATTAAAATTTTATTGTCAATTTAATTGTCAATTGTCCTCCGAAAAGGATTTACTAAATTCAACTGCCAAGGATTTAAAGTTCAAACGACTGCTTATCTCTCCACATCTTCACCGACACGAAATGTTACTTGTTTCCAAATGTTGGATAATCTCATGGGTGAAAAACAGATCTTACTGATTTTAATCTGCATTTATTTAATTAATCATGAGGTAGGGCATCTTTTTAAAAGTTTGACTCTTTGTATTAATTCTGAGTTTATGTGTAGATATCCTTTGGCTGTTTTCTTATATATATATTGATTGATTTGCATGAGCTCTTTATATGTTATGGCTTCTTGTCTTCTGTGTCTTTATTCTTTTTACCATATCCTGACTAAAAACTCAGCTTAGAGTGTGTGTGGTAGAGACAGAGTGATCAGCTGACCTCCTGTGTCCTGGTTTACGCTCTCTATCGATGGCTAAAAGCAATTTTTATCTTTGGCTCTGAAGTAAACAGCTAGCTGTTCCTGTGGGCTAAAGAATCAAAATGATAAGGACTTTCAAATCTGTTCCAGGCTTGGGTCCTACTTTAGGATGGTGGAGCTTAGGTCAAAGCGAAAGTTAACTGGCCTTCAAGTTAAGGCAAAAGCCTTACCCTCTCTGAGCCCCTGTTTCCTTGTAAAACAGGGTTCATAATACTAACATCATGGGGGTTTGCTAGGATTACAGGAGAGAATTATAACAAAGACAGGGTCTGGCAGGTGGGAAGAGGCTGATACTTGTTATATCCTCCCCCTCCCCATTGCTTCAAGATTCATTAAAAATTTTTTTTCTTTTTGATTTTTAGAGAGAGAAAAAGAAACATTGATGAGAGAGAACATCGACTGGCCACCTCCTGCATGCCCCCCACTGGGGATTTGGCCCACAACCTGGGCATGTGTCCTGACCGGGAATCGAACCGGCGACCTCTTGGTGCATGGGTCAATGCTCAACCACTGAGACACACCAGCCGGGCTCAAGATTCATTTTTAGGTTTTTAAAAATAACAGTCTATTTCTACGTGTCCCTTCCCCTAGACGTGAGCATCCTTCATTGTGTCCATCTTTGTATTCTCGTGACCAGCGTATGGTCTCGGGCACAGTGTGTTGAATGACTGACTTGCCCCTAAACTCAGGCTGGAGCCTGTTCCTCCTCCCACCCGGAAACACACCCCTTAGACGTGGGAACCCAGCATTTCCCTTGCTCTACACTTTGCCTTTCAAATGATCTCACCTGCCCTCTGGCTTTAGCTGAAACCCACGGTCCCTGTCCCTTGCTGAAGCTCTGATTCCTCTGAGTTCTAGCGCTGCATTTCCAGCCACCTTCTGGAAACTTCTCCAAGTCCTGCTTCCTTGTTTTCTGTTGTTATTTTTTTAAGTTGTGTATGGAGCCCGTCATCTTCAGGGGCCTAATTTCAGAATTCAGAATAATTTTTAGATTTTAGGAAGGCAGTCTGGCTTGTAGTCTGCGCATCACATTGTATTCCTGCAGGGATAGTGGTGGGGACCCAAAGTTACTCAGCCCACGAGTGCAGTGGGAGAGGGAAGCGAAGCCTCGCTGGGCCGGTGTGGCTCAGTGGTTGAGCGTCGACCCTGCACTAAGAGGTCGCTGGTTCAATTCCCGGTCAGGGCACATGCCCAGGTTGTGGGCCAGATCCCCAGTGGGGGGCATGCAGGAGGCGGCCATTCGATGTTCTCTCTCATCGATGTTTCTATCTCTGTCTCCCTTTCCCGTCCTCTCTCTTTCAAATCAATAAAGAACAATAAAAACAACAACAACAAAACAACAAGAAGACAAGCCTAGAAATCGCTCTCACCAGCTCAGAGCGAGTTTGTCACGAAATGTTTGCACCGTTCCTGGGGAGGAGCACAGTGCCCAGCACGAGGCTGGTGCTCACTCAAAGCCTGTTGAATGAATATCCCAAGTGGCTGGCGCTGCTGCTGCTGCTAAACATAACAGCATCTGCGTGTGCTCTAATACCACGTGCAACTCTAAATTGTTCAACCATCACTGCAATCCGGGGGGAATCACTAGGATTATCCCTCTTTTACTGATGGAGAAACTGAGGTCGGCATGGGGACCCCGGTCTGCGTGGTTCCAAATTGTGAGCTCCTAATTAGTGTCACCCTGTCCTGCTTCATTTGGAGGCTGATGGTCCTGGGCATCTTCACAGGCCCGTCTCCTAGTCTCAGCTCATATGTTCATCTCTCTTCTTCCCCCAAGTCTGGGGTATGGCCTTGGCTGAAATCCCTCAAGGCCTCCTCTCAAACCTCAAGCCAGGTGCCTCCTTTCCAGCACACAGCTGTCGGGCGTGGCAGGCCCCCACCTCTTACCGGAGGGCTGCGCGTGGTGTGGGTACGGCTCCCCCATTGCTGCCAGCTTCCTGGTCTACCACCCTGCCCAGCCCGAAGCCATGCTCTGAGACTCCAGCCTCTCCCCTCTCCCTTTCCTGCTGCCACATGGTACACATAGGAGCTGCTGGTGGCACCGGAAGACCTCCCATTTGAGGCCTAATCTTTGTTTTTCGAGCTATGTCCCACTCACCTATGTCCCCCTTCCCCCAGGTCATGGTGACAAGCCTGGTCCCAGGCCTGACACAGAGAGACTGTTTTCAGGATCTTCATCCTAGGGTGACGGAGACTTCCCAGTTCAGAACACTGACGGGCTAGTGCGCTCCAGTCCCCAGGATCCTCCAGGACAGGGCCAGTCCTCAGACATTTGGGTCCCCAGCACAGGGTCTGGGCACACCATATTCAGTATGTGTTGACACCTCCCCATGGGCCTGGGGTTTGGACAGACCTGCAGTAGCCATTGATGATCCTGCCGGACACCACCTTCCGGAAAGGCTCCCAGTGCTTGGCTTCTCCTTCCACGGGCGCACCCAGCAGGACGACGTCCTCGATGATCCCCTGGCAATCTGGCGAGAGACCCAGGAAAAGCTGTCAGTGTCCCTGGCCACAGGGGGTCCTGGGAGGGCCTCTCCAACAGTGGTGGAGGAGGTGGATGTCACACACACTGTGAGCACACACACTCAGGCACACACATGTACAAACACACACACTCACATGCTCATGCACACATGCAAACACACAGTCATGCACACACATGCAAACACACGTGTGCACGCACAGTAATGGGGCGTCCACTTTCTGAGTTCCTGTCCCTGCGTCAAGCCCATCCTGGGCCTGACTTATTCCTGCAAAGCACCATTATTCCCATTTTGGAGTCACAGGCCGTGGACTCAGACGGGCCGTCTTCCGTTAGAAGGAACCGACAGGCCCTCCATCATCACATGTGCCAGGGGACACACCACAGCCTTCCTTGGCAACAGTTCCCTGGGGCCTGGGCAGTGAGGCGGGAAGGGGGGAGTGAAGAGGAGATGGGGTGTGTGGGTCCCGGGACAGGCCATACACTCATCAGCAGCACCGACTGTTTCCCTCGTGGCAAAATTATGCTCAGAGACCAAGATCGTCTTTGCCAATAATTTAACACAGATTCACTGCGGGGATTATATTTTAAAATACTATTTCACAAGCCAGTAGCATATAGAATAATGTCCCTTAATAAGCCAATAAAGAAATAACACACTCCAAAACAATGTTAGGTTGTGCCAGGCAAAGAGGATCTGAAAGAAATAAAGTCCAAATTTCACTGAGGTAGCTTTCTACTGGCTGGTTCTTGGAAGAGTGGGCTTAGCCGGGCCGGGAGCTGATGCCCGGCTGCCCGCGCACTGAAGGCCCCGATGCCAGAGCACGGCGTTCGGGACGAAGGTGCCGGTGCTGGCGGCCAGGTCACCTGCAGGCCCGAGCTCAGTTTCCGCGGCCTGCAGAGCCGCCTTGCCGCGCCGGAGCCGATGTGCCAGTGTTTTCAGAGCATAAGTAGATCAGCAGAGAGGAGCCTTGCCCACACCCAACACCCTCGGTAAGTCCTCCCAGACTCTTGGTGTTTACAGTTTAAATATCCATTACGTCAGTGGCTCTTCCAAACCTTCACATCAATAAAACACTCACGAGCACAACAATCCTGACGGCATCATCCTGACACGGCCTCGCCAACGCAAACAAACTCATCCTTAGATCAAAACAACTCCCCTTAAGTTACAAACACGTGGATTCGAAATCCTAACAAACCAAATCACAACACTGACCGAATGGTTCAGAGATATTTTAGGCCAGCGTTGTTCAAAGTGCAGTCCTTGGGCCAGGCTGCTCCGCGGACTCTTTGTCCTGTGGAAACAGGGAAGAAGCATTTCTCTTATCTTGTTGCAGACTGGAAACCAACAGGTCCCAGGGGCGTGCACACCGCACTTGGAGGAGCACTGCTCTTGACCTCTGAGAGAGAGGTGCACTCGCACCCCCACTTTGTCACTATCCCTTTACTCCGCTGCATTTTCTTCTTGCCACGTATCACTTGTTTATGTCTGTCTCCGCCTCTATCATCTAGGTTCTTTTTTTTTAATCTTCACCCGAGGACATTTTTCCATTTTTGTTCAGATAGCTTGGGGGTGGGGAGAGAAACATTGATGTGAGAGAGACACATCGAGTGGCTACCTCCCACACGACCCCAACCAGGGCTGGGGACAAATCGCAACCGAGGTATGTGCCCTTGACCGGAATCAAACCTGCGACTCTCTGGACCACGGGCGGACGCTCTAACCGCTGAGCCAAACCAGCCAGGGCTATCATTTAGGTTCTATGAAGGCGGGTGCTCTAGGGGCCTAATTCACAGGGGTAGGGGCGTAGGACAGTGCATGGTGCATGCTTGGTGCTCAATTAAGATCTGAATAAAGGACTGAATGAATGAATGAGTGAACTGCCATCCCTCAGGAAAGCCGGCAACATGTACTTTGCAAGCGCAAAGCCCTGGGTTCAAATCCTATCCCCCCCCCACGAGTCTGAGTTCCTGCATGTCTCAGGAAGCCGCCTGGTCTGTCACTCCTGGGGAATGGGCCCAGGAGGGGACAGCCCCACCCAGCGTGGCCACGCTCCTGCCGAGTGACACCGGACAGCTGGCTTCCTCTCTCCGGGCGGCAGTTTCCAAGCAGGAGGCAGCTGTTTGCTGCTGGGCTTCCATGTCACAGCTGGTCTGAGTGAAGGGTTCCAGGCTGAGAGAAGTTTGAGAACCCCTGAGGCACCACGTTCTCTGAGCGCTCCTCTGGCTCCGATGCTGAAAGACGCCGAGGTACAGAGTGCTGACATCGCTCCTCTGCCCCCAGGTGGGCGATCACTGGCAGAAGGATGGAACACTTCAGTGCAGAACAGCAAGGCTGACTCAGACAGCCCTGGCCTAAGGGCTTATTTCAGGATGAGATTTTATTCCAACCTTTTCCCTTGGCAGATGAGGAGACTGAGTCCAGAGGGGATGGGGACATGCCCAGGGTCACACGGGTAGTGGGAATGAAGCTGGAAATAGAACCCAGTTTGTAGAGAAAGCTGCCCTGGGGTTGTGCTTTCTGCTGTTTCTGCAAACGCACCGCGATTGCATGTGGGTTATCATTGCGCCCACGGTGCCAAATGGTTATGGATCCAGGGCCAGAGACTGAGCCCCGCGCTCTCTCTGGGGGCCGGCCCCTCAAGGCATTTGCTCTGCCCACAGGACCTCACTGAAGAGCTGGGACCACTTTCCACCCCTGGGTGCTGACCCAGGAGGGCTGGGACCCCTTGTGGGCAGAAGTGGTAATGCAGGATTCCCGATACAGTTGCTAGAGCAGCTGCTAGGATCCTGAAAGTGGCTGTTTCTAACAGCAAAAAAAAAAAGTTGCCTGTGACCTTGAACTGAGACAAGTAGTTAAACCTCATTAGACAGTCCAGGGCACAGCCAGGTCAGGTCAGGTAGATGGCACGCTGAACACATTCACCCATCTTTGAAGCTGGCTGCCAACTGTCTCACTAGACCGTTTCCTCTTTCATCCCGAGTGTCGCCACTCAGACGTGCTCCTCTGCTGTGTCAGAGAGGATCCGCTCTCCGCCACATCGCAAACCTGGACATCAGCCACGTGGCGGCTCTCAGTTACGCACCGTGTTAGCAAACGGAGTTCTGTGGGGCAGCCCAGGGCATCAGCACCTGACCACAGCCGAACAGGACGGCTCAGGAGGGGAAAGCCCAGCTAGGAAAGAGAAGACGCTGGCCACTGTCGTAGATGCTAGAAATGAAAAAATGTCAACATTCGTTGCTTGGTCCCAAACCTTGTAATACCAGCAGATTTCAGTCTTCCAGGCTAACTGCAGAAACTCCTTACGTACCACCTTCGGTATGAAGCCCCTTCCACGGACACAGACGGCCCCTCGCAGCGTGAGAATTCAGTGAAGATGCCCCCACTTTTCAAGACCAACGAAAGGAACTGGATTTTAACATTTTCATAACTAATATGAGACCTCAGCATCTTTTTGTTGCAGGAACAGTGCATTTTTGCTGAAATGTGTTTAGATTTATTCCCATTCCTACCATCGACGTTTCTCCTTGTGAATATTTAAAAAATATTTTTTCTTTATTGATTTTTAGAGAGAGAGGGAGGGAGAGAGAGATAGAAACATGAATGAGAGAGAACATCAATTGGCCGCCTCCTGCAGGCCCCCCTCGGGGATCAGGCCCACAACCTGGGCATGTCCCTTGACTGGGAATTGAACCGGTGACCTCTTGGTGCATGGGTCAATGCTCAACCACTGAGCCACACCGGCCGGGCATCTCCTAGTGAATTTTTAAGGTATTAAGGTGCTATAGCTTTGTAAATGGTCACACTTTCACGTCGAGGTGGGCAGGATCCGACTTGCATTCTGCCGTCATCTTCCAGGTCAGGAGTCACAGGCAGGCACAGCGACGAGGCTTGGACTCTCATTTCTTCCACCGTTCTCTGTATGTTACCAATACCCTGCTCTTCCTGGTAACGCTGGAGGCCCCTTTTCCCGTCACAACTTTGGCATGAAGGAGGCTGCAGACCTCCAGTGGTTCAAAAGAGAAAAGCTTTATCAGTTGTGTCTTTGCCCTTCACCTTCAGTCCTCATGGTCATTCACGGGGTCCCTGCTTCCTTGTCATTGCCACACAGACCATGGGTGTGGCAGCTGGGTAGGAGTGGTGTACAAAAGCATTGTCTTTGGGGACGGACCTCCGGCGCGTCTGTGGCCAGCCACCAATCACAGGCGCTGCCTCAGGAGGTTAGTGGCGGCGTGTGGTGACGGAGCCGCGAACAGTGGCCTTGGTCCCCTTCGGAGCACAGCCTCTGGGAGAAGCGATGGCTAAACGGGTCCTCGTTTCCCATTTTCAAAGGTGTTGGTCAATTGTGGGAAATACACACAACATGAAATACCATCCTGACCACTGTTAAGCATGCCGTTCAGCGCGCTGAGTGTATTCATCCACACTGTTGTGTAACTCTCCTCACTTACTTCTACCCATCAGCATTTCGATAAATCCGCTTCTCTCTGGGCAAGTGCCCGACACGTCCAGCAGCTCACACTGGGACCCTGAGAGGACACGTCCGCCACGTGGCACTTTTTGGTCTGGAGACTGTCTTGGCTTTTCAAAAAGAATTAAGAGCTGAGAACGGATAGTGTCTTTACAATAGCAAACTTCCGTCTATAATATAGCCTTGGTCTTAAACAGTATATATTGAAGCTTTTATGAAAGGAAATATTCTTTTTTTTTTTTTTTTTTTTAATCCTCACCCGAGGACATTTTTCCATTTTTTTTTTGTTCAGGTAGAGTGGGAGGGAGAGAGAGGAACAGAGAGAGAGAAACATCGATGTGAAGGGACACATCGAGTGGTTGCCACCCACACAACCGACCAGGGCCGGGGACAAACTGCAACCGAGGTACGTGCCCTTAGCGGGAACCGAACCCGGGTCTCTCAGGACCGCAGGCCGACGCTCTAACCGCTGAGCCAAACTGGCCAGGGCTGAAAGGAAATATTCTTAAAAAGC